TGAGATACCTAGGTTGAGAAAAAAAAAAAACTACTAGATAATGATTATCTCCTGACCAATGGTAAAAAAAAATAAATAAATTAATAAACCAAACAAAACTAACAAACACAAAAAGTGAAGAACTTCTATAGATGCGTGATAGTAATCTCTTTATATGTGCTTTTTATGAGTCATATTTATAAAAAAATCGTAGTAGAAATATAAAATATTATCAGACCATGAATTATTCTATTGGTGCTATCAAATTACTTTTGTTTTTCTACTTCTTTATTTATAAAACACATTATAGTTTTCTTTTTACTAAATTGATCTTTTTTTTCCTATGGTCAGAAATTTCTCCTACTTTTATGTAAGAATGATAGTTGAGGTAGTAAATAAGACTAATAAGACTTTCTAATTTAGAAGTCATAATGTTGATTTAAGCAAGAAAAAATAAACCCGTCATGGTTTCTTCTTTCTTTTTTATGTTTTAATGCTTTTAAGTGGATGTGCACTCCTAAGATGACAACAGACTGTGCATTTTCCATAGTTTTGCCTGGCCACACTTCTACTCCAGTGTGTATATTTTTATTACCTGCTTTAACTCCAAGTGCATTCAAACTCCTCAAAAGTTTTAAGTTCTTAAAAGAACATTTTTTTTTTGTAAAAAAATGAAAAGTTATTTCTCGTCAAGATGGCAGAGTAGGTAAATGCTGTCCTTGCCTCTCCTTGATACCACATCAAAATTACAGCTAAACTACAGAACAACCATCACTGGAAATCGCGTGAGCTCTAACTGAACAAAAGTCTTACAACTAAGGAAATACAGAAGAAGCCATTTCAAGATTAGTTGGAGGGGTGGAGTTGCAAAACAAGCTGGTTTCACAACTGTGTGTGACACTTGAAAATCCAGAAAGATATCTAGGCTTTGGAGATCCCCAGGAGCAGCAAGGGGTCCCAGCCCCATGCCGAGCCACCCAGCCCAGGATTCCAGTCCCAGGAAGAAAAGTCATTACAAAATCTATATCTTAAAATTAGTGGATATTGTGATAAGTGAGACAGAGGGCTGTGAGAGTCCCAGGCATTCCTCTTAAGGGCCTGCACATGGACTTATTTATTGATGGACTCACTTGCTCTGGACTCTGGCCCTGGGACAGTAGCTCACAGCACCAGGGACATACGTGGAGGAACTGAATTGTCTGGCTTGAGGGCCAGATGCAGAGTTCAAAACATTGGTTATAAGGATGCTCAATGAACCTAGGGGAAGAGTTAATGAACTCAGTGAAAACTTTAATAAGGAGTTAGAAAACATAAAAATGGAGATAGAAAACATAAAAAAGAACCAGTCAGAAAAAAAAGAATATAATAACTGAAATGAAGAATACGTTACAGCAGTGGTCCCAACCTTTTTGGCACCAGGGATTGGTGCTCTCATGACAATCTAATGCCTAATTATCTGAGGTGCTGAGGCAGTGATACTAACAGTAGGGAGAGGCTGAGAATACAGATGAAGCTTCGCTCTCTTGACCACTGCTCACCTCCTGTTGCGTAGTCTAGTTCCCAACAGGCCACAGACCAGTACCAGTACATATCCCGGGGTTTGGGGACCCCTGAATTAAAAGGAATCAACAGTAGATTAGCAGAAGCAGAGGAATGAATCAGAGACTTAGAAGATAAGTTAGCAGAAAACACCCAATCAGAACAGCAACAGGAAAAAAGAATACAAGAAAATGAGGATAGTTAAAGGAGCCTCTGGGACAACATCAAGCATAACAACATTCAGATCATAGGGGTACCAGAAGGAGAAGATAGAGAGCAAGGAAATGAGAACCTACTTGAAGAAATGATGACAGAAAACTTCTCTAACTTGGCGAAGGAAATAGACACACAAGCCTAGGACATGCAGAGAGTCCCCAACAAGAAGAACCCCAAAAGGCCCACACCAAGACACATCATAATTAAAATGCTGAAGGTTAAAAACAGAGTCTTAAAAGCAGCAAGAATCTTAAAAGCAGTTAGTTATCTACAAGGGACCTCCCATAAGACTGTGAGCTGATTTTTGAACAGAAACTTTATAGGCAAGAAGGAACTGGCATGAACTATTCAAAGTGATGAAAAGCAAGGATCTACAACCAAGATTGCTCTACCTAGCAAAGCTATCCTTTTGAATTGAAGGATAAAGAGCTTCCCAGACATGAAAAAGCTAAAGGAGTTCATCACCACCAAGCCAGTATTATAAGAAATGTTAGAGGAACTTCTTAAAGAAGAAGAAGAAAGTTAAAAGGTTAAAAATATGAATAATAAAATAGCAACAACTACATATCTATCAACAATTACTTTAAATGTAAATGCATAATGTTCCAATCAAAAGATTAGGTAGCTGAATGGATAAGAAAACAAGACCCTTACATATGCTGCCTACAAGAGACTCACTTTAGATCAAAACACACAGACTGAAAGTAGAGATAGAAAAAGATATTTTGTGAAAATGGAAACAAAAAGATTTTTCACAAAAAGATTTTTGTGAAAAGTAGAATTTAAAACAAAGACTATAACAAGAGACAAAGAAGGACCCAAAGAATACTCACTTCTGAGTATTTACCTTAAGAAACCAAAAACACTACTGTGAAGGGATATGTGAACCCATATGTTCATTGAAGCATTATTTACAATAGTCATGATATGGAGGCAACCTGGAGGTCCATCAATGGATGAAAGGATAAAGGGGTGGGACATATATACAATGGAATATTACTCAGCCATAAAAAAAAAAAAATCTTGTCATTTGCATTAACATGGATGGACCTAAAGGATATTGTGCTGACTGGAGTAAGTGAGATAAAGACAAATGTCATATGATTTCACTTACATGTGGATTCTAAAGAACAAAATAAACAAACAAAACAGAAACAAACTCATAGATACAGAGAACATTTTGATGGTTGCCATAGGGGAGGAAGGTTGAGGGGTCAGTTGAAAAAGGAGAAGATAATAAGAAGTACAAATTGGGAATTACAAAATAGTCAAGGGGATGTAAAGTATAGCACAAGAAATATATAGTCAATAATATTATAATCACTATTTACAGTGTCAGATGAGTACTAGATTACTTTGTAAGTTATAGAAATGTCTAATCACTATGTTGTACACTTGAAACTAATATAATATTGTATGCCAACTGTATTTAAAAAGTTAAAAAATATTATCAAAGAAAAAAAGAAAATGAATAGTCTGTACCTACATTCATTTCTTAGGCATGCCTTTATATGCGTTATTGTTACTGTCACATAGAATGTTTTTAATGCCTAGCTGCTTGATATTGTCTTGGGAGAGAGGCACACATCCTCTTAATTAGTTAGGAAAACAAAATATTTTAAGAAGAAACCTTATATATAAAAATGGCTTTACAACAGTGTGAACTTTTAAAAATTTAGTGCAAATGACATCAGGAAGAAATTGAAAGATCTACTGTGCAGTTTCTACCACCATTTTGAAGGTTTATTTTAGATCTAAATAAACAGAGCTTTAAACTTCGAAGTTGGCTAGGGTTATCATTTTCATCTTAGTTCTTCTATTCCTTAAGTTTTTCTTCCCATGAGAAGAAATGAAATAAAATTGGGGCCATATGGCTTCTGCTACTGCTTAAGTTTTAATTCAGAAGTTCACTACACTTTTCAATTACAGATACCTTCTTGTTTTAATGACGAAAGTAGCCTCTTTTTTCATAGCTTTTCTACCACCAGATAAATCACTGCAAGAAGAATGAGACCAGCATCTATTATGACCCTAGAGAACTGACAAAGCATTTTCAAACTTGAAACAAACACCGAATAGTTTGTTGCATTTCAGTAGAAGATGGCTTATTCAGGCCCTAATAAACTTTTTCATCTGTTGGTAGAAAAATGGAGCTCCCTTAAATTTGTTACAGCTCATGGAATTGTCATGTAATAAGAACTTCCAATGAGGCACGTGCAAGCCAGACTTTTTCTTAAAGTGTATTTTTCTACTTCAGGTCATTTAATATAAAGTTCATAAGATCATATAAACTAAAAATATATGCAGTATAATATCTTTTAAAAAATT